TAGACCAACTGAGGCACTGGTAAAGGACATTCTTCAAACCTGTCAATTCTGCATACTGGTGTTATGCAATGAGCTCCAGGTTCTCAGTTGTGTGAGCTGTCATCCATGCATCCATGCTGGGAGTAGACTTTGACGCTGCAGCCAATTTCCACTCTCTTTTTTTTTTTTTTTTTTTGGTTTTACAAGACAGGGTTTCTCTGTATTATTTTGGAGGCTGTCGGTCCAGCCTGGCCTTGAACTCACAGAGATCCGCCTGCCTCTGCCTCCTGAGTGCTGGGATTAAAGGCGTGCACCACCAACGCCTGGCTTAATTGCCACTCTTTTTTTTTTTTTTTGGTTTTTTGAGACAGGGTTTCTCTGTATTGTTTTGGAGGCTATCGGTCCAGCCCAGCCTCAAACTCACAGAGATCCGCCTGCCTCTGCCTCCCGAGTGCTGGGATTAAAGGCGTGCGCCACCACCGCCCGGCAATTTCCACTCTTATAAATTACCCCACCCATATTCCTGTAAGTGACCACACTACAACTCATTGGTTTGCTAAGTTGAATTATGGTAGTATCTGTAAAATTTGGTCTGTTGTGGGTTCTATATCTGGGGTGAATAAATGTGTGTGTGTTATGTCTCCCCAGGAGAAGTTTTGTCACATAACAGGCTGCACCAAGGTGGTCATGTGGAGATGACCAGGTCCCGCTGGTGATCCTCCAGGCACAGAAAATGGGCCTCCAGTCTTATAGGAAGGGTGCTTGTTTTTGCAGCAGGATCCTAGAGTCAGCCTGGACCAGAAGCCAGTTTGTAGGTAACATTTGCCTTTTTCCATCCCTGACATGTCTTAGCCCCTCCCCCATGCTTGCTGTCCTGTGAAGAATAACTTGCTGATATTTTGCTGTTATCCTTCAAATGTTTTCTCAAAAGACAAGGGACCAGCATGAGGCTCGGCAGGTAGAAGTGTTTGCCACCAAGCCTGAGGACCTGGGTTCCATCCTTAGAACCCACAAGTGGAAAGAGGACTAACCCTGAAAACTGTCCTCAGACCTCTGCAAGCATGTACTACCATGCGTGCCCTAGCACACACATATTCAGATACATGTAATAATGAAACTGCTTTCAAAAGAGACAAAATTAACCAAGCAGTAGGGGTGCACGCCTTTAATCCCAGCACTTGGGAGGCAGGGGCAGGCTGATCTCTCTGAATTCAAGGCCAATCTGGTCTACAGAGCGAGTTCCAGGACAGCCAAGGCCACATAGAGAAACCCTGTCTTCAAAACCAAACAAAAAAGGAGAGAGAAGAGATGAAATTGTGCTATAATTCTGCTTCATCCATTCTTACTTTTACATAGCTATTAGCTAGTCATCCACAGCACTGATGGACCGTAGATCAGTTTGACCAGTTTTGTAGATCTGGCCAAGGTGTGTCCATGCTTGTGCTCTGCTTTGTCATGGCAACTTTCGCAGTAGCTCACCTCTTCCGAGGGAGAAGGGCTAGGCCAGTGTTCCTCAAACGACCCTTTCACAGGAGTTGCCTAAGACTGTCAGAAAACACACATATCTACATTATTATTCCTAACAGCAAAACTACAGTTATGAAGTAACGGAAATGTTAAGGTTGAGAGTCACCACAACATGAGGAACTGCATTAAAAGGTGGCAGCATTAGGAAGGTTGAGAGCCACTGAGTGGGGTAGGAGACATGGCTCAGTGGCTAAGAGCACTGACTGTTCTTCCCGAGGACCCGGGTTCAATTCCCAGTACCCACATGGCAGCTCACAACTGTCTGTAACTCCAGGATCACACAGACATACATGCAGGCAAAACACCAATGCACACAAAATAAAAATAAATTATAGAAAAAAAAAAAAAAAAAAAGAACCACTGAGCTAGGCTAATGCTTTCCCACAGGACTCAAATCCAGTCCTGAATGGACTGGCTATGATCTGTAAGTGTTTCACAGTTTCTATGTTTTACTTTTGTGGGACACTCAAACTGTCAATGGTCTTACTTCCTAAGAGTACACATTGCTTAATGAAATAGAAACGCTGAAATAGGCCTGGTGTTGGTGGCGCACGCCTTTAATCCCAGCACTCGGGAGGCAGAGGCAGGCGGATCTCTGTGAGTTCGAGACCAGCCTGGACTACCAAGCGAGTTCCAGGACAGCCTCCAAAGCCACAGAGAAACCCTGTCTCGAAAAACCAAAAAAAACAAAAAAAAACAAAAAAAAACGCTGAAATTACTATTTTGAGGCAAAATTTCCCATAGCCCACTCTGGCCTCCAGCTTGCTGTATAGTCAAGGCTTACCTTGAACTAACTTCCTGCCTCTACCTCCCAAGTGCTGGGATTACAGATGGGCACCACTACATCCAGCAAACTTGAAAAACAAAATCCAGCGTGTGAGGCAAGTGTCCCACCCACCACTGAGCTATAGCCCCAGCTGAAGTTTTCTTTGTTCTTTTGTTTGTTTGTTTGAATTTTGGTTGTCATTGTGTGTGGGTGCAAACATCACAGAGCATGTGTCGAGGTCAGAGGGAGACTTGTAAGAGCAGACTCTCTCCTTCCACCGTGTGTGCTCCAGGGATCAAACTCAGGTTGTGACTTGCACACCAAGTGCCTTTCTCAGATGAGTCATCTCGATGGCCCATCCTTTTTTTTCCTTTGAGACAGTCTCACGTGTATCCCAAGCTGGCCTCAAAATCACGATCCTCTTGAATCCTGACTGCTGTGGTTACAGATGTGCACTGCCATCCCCCACTAAAAGTCCACGTGTGTGATGTCATCATGTCACCACCAGCTTTCAGGGTCCCTGGGGAGGCTGAGTCAAACACAGGGAGTCCTACTCTCTCTTGGTCATGTCACAGTTCCTGTTTGTATTCTCAGACTTGCACAAGGCAAGGGGTGTGCTCGTAGTCCCTACCATTAGAGTTCAGAAAACAGTGGCTGGTGATACTGGCAGTGGATTTGTAGGCACAGATTTTTGTTTTGTTTTTTGAGACAGAGTTTCTCTGTGTAGTCCTAGTTGTCCTAGAACTCTTATTTGTGCATGCCACCACCATGGATTTTAAGGGGAAAGATAAGGTGGCTCTAACCAGGTGTGGTGGTGTACTCCTTTAATCCCAGCACTCTGGAGGCAGAGGCAGGGGATCTCTGAGTTCAAGTCCAGCCTGGTCTACAGAGCAAGTTTCAGACATCCAAGGCTACACAGAGAAACCCTGTCTTGAAAAAACAAAAAGGGAATAAAAAAGATAAAGTAGATCAAAATATAAGCAGGAAAGCAAGAAGCTAATTGAAGACTTAATTGGAAAGAAAGCACATAGTAGGGCAGACCTCAGGCGCTCCAAATGCAGAGGGGTTCACACAGGAGCCCTTTTGGTTTTGATGGACTGTTTTACCATTTAGGCCATGCTCTTCACCTTTTATTCTGGGCAATAGCTGGCAGCCATTTGGTAACAGGCTGAGATTACCAAGCTTTCCTAAAATGAGTTGACTAGTCCTGCAAACAACCTTATTGCCAAATCATCATAATTTTGAGTCCCTGTAGTTACAGAACTGGGTCAACTTTGCCAGAACATAGAATTGTTAGTAAATTGATCCCTTTTAACTTAGTTTCCTTCCTCCATGCCCACGGGACTGCTAGACCCTCTGTCACTGATGTCCCCAGTCCTCCCTCTGGAAGCTTGGGTTGGAGCATGTGAATGCAATGCCCACAGAAGCCTGAAGAGGGTGTTGGATCTACTGGATTTCCGTGTGCTTGTGAGCCACCATGTGAGAACTGGGAACCCAAGCCAGGTCCTCCACAAGGGCAGTAAGTATTATTAGTAAGTGCTGAGCCGTCTCTCCAGGCCCTGTCTAAATTATAAAAATAAAATAAAATCAATCAGGTAATTAAACTTTTGGAGGCTGGAGAGATGGCTCAGTGGTTAAGAGCACTGGATGCTCCTCCAGAGGTCCTGAGTTCAATTCCCAGCAACCACATGGTGGCTCACAACCATTTGTGATGAGATCTGGTGCCCTCTTCTGGCCTGCAGGCATACATGCAGGCATAACACTGTATATATAATAAATAAAATTAGTTAAAAATAAACTTTTGGAAATTTTCTTCAGGGGCTACTTACTAACTTGGGGCAGGTTTGAGACAGGAGGTAATTTCAAGCTCAGACAACTTTACCCTCTGCCCACAGTTAGGCCAGTGGATGGTCTACTCCTGTTAACCTGTCCACCTGGGACTATTAGAGGCCTGGAGAAATGACTCAGTGGTAAGAGCACTTGCTGCTCTTGCAGAGAACCTGGGTTTGGTTCCCAGCATTCATGATGGCTCACAAGCATCTGTAACTCCAGTTCTAAAGGATCCCTCGCCCTCTTCTGGCCACTATAGGTAGTGCATTCATGTGACATACACATACAATCACACATACACATAAAGTAAAAGTTAAAAAGAGATCCCTCTACATGTTTACTGGAGTGGTGTGAGCCCAGAACACTAACAGTGTTCTTTTTGTTTTATGTGCATTGGTATTTTGTCATGGGTGTGGGTTCTCCTGGATCTGGAGTTATAGACAGTTGTGAGCTGGGTGCTGGGAATTGAACCTGGGTCCCCTGGAAGAGCAGTCAGTGCTCTTAATCACTGGACCATCTTTTCAGCCTCTTATTACTATTTTTTATTTGGAGACTCCAGCTTGCCCCTGTGCAGTCTAGGAAGTCCCATTCATGTCTCTCTCCAAACCCCACCAGCTCAGAGAATCTCCAAACAAAGGAAAAGCGACCGAAAAACCCAGTTCCCTATTCTTGGTGGCTGTTGCAGCTTGCTCCCCTGAAGTTGCTGGCTGCCCAAGTACCCACCTACGCACTCAGCTTTTGACAATAATTTGGTACAAACCCAGCTTGTGGTGGACACATCATTACCCCTCGCCTACAGTCTACAAAACTCCTGCTCAGGTTTGACATGAGACTTTTCTGACCTCGATCTCTGGGACCAGGGAACTTGCCAGGAAGTCGTTTTGCTCAATATACCTGTGTAGGGGTGAGCTCACAATACTGTCCATGCCCAAAAGGGGCGTGGTCAGGAGTATGGGACAGGTAGTATACAAAAGAAAGGAAAGCAAAAGCTCTCTCTCTTGGAAGCTGGCCGCGTTTCCAGAGCGCCTATCCCTCGGTTTATCTCGTAAGTATATTTAACAAACATATTAGACCTCCTTTTCAGATAGTGTTATCTCTAGCTGGTGTCAGAAGTGGGATCCTCTGTTAGTTTTTTTTTCAATTTGGCTTCTTCTGACTTACTGCACTGGGGGAGAAACTTAATGGGATGGGGGAGAGAAAACCTATTAGAAGCTATTTTCATTTAAAGTCCAGCTAATTAGGGTTCAGCCTTCAAGCCTTCCAGTGGCTTTTTTTTTTTTTTTTGGTTGTTCTAGAGGGCTTTGGACTTTATACAGCTCCTCTGTGATAAAATTTGGATTAAATTCGCACAGGGCCAAGTGCAAGAATCTTTTTTCCGTGTAGACAGCCCGTCGATCAATTTGTTGAAAATAAGTTCTTTTGTGCGCTGTATTACCTTGACATCTCGCCAAAAATCCACGCACAAAATACGCGCAGGTCACTGCGGGGCTCATCAATTCTGTGTTGACGCTCTTCGCATCACCTGAGGCTGACGCCCCAGCATCTCTGATTTACGTGGCTTATGCCTTGGTGTTTGAGAAGCTAAACATTCACGTTTTGTTTTTGTGAACTTGCTGATTCAGGTCCTGTCCTCTTCTGACCACCTTTATTTTACTTTAGTGACCCCCTTGTTCCAAACACAGCCTCACCGGGTGCCGCAACTTCGACACACGGAGCTGGCGGGCACAGACATTCAGTCTTACCCAGCTGTTGCTTCCAGGCCCCCCCCCTCCCCCGCTTCTTTCCAACTTCTTCCCTGACAATGCTTTCAGAGGACTCAGCTGAGTTGCATCAGCCAAGCCCAGAATTCAGGAAGCACAGCAGAACTGCCTGGAGCAAAACAAGGAAGGGTAAGGAGACTTTAGAGCTTACACACTTGGAAGCCGTGCAGAGCATCCTGGTCTTAGCAAACTAAGGGAAATATTTACTACATAGTTTTTTTTTTTTTAATGGGTATCTGACCAATGGGTCTCAGGATTTACACTCTTCCGTGTGACAGATTTTTGAGGTCTACTTTTCTTTTTTCTTTTTTTAAAATTAATTTATTTATTACATATACAGTGTTCTGCCTACATGCCAGAAGAGGGCACCAGACTGAATTGTAGATGGTTGTGAACCACCATGTGGTTGCTGGGAATTGAACTCAGGACCTCTGGAAGAGCAGTCAGTGCTCTTAACCTCTGAGCCATCTCTCCAGCCCGAAGTCTACTTTTCTTAAGTATGAACATTGAAGTAAGAAATGTGTTCGTGCCGGGCGGTGGTGGCGCACGCCTTTAATCCCAGCACACCGGAGGCAGAGGCAGGTGGATCTCTGTGAGTTCGAGACCAAGCCTGGTCTACCAAGCGAGTTCCAGGACAGGCTCCAAAACAATACAGAGAAACCCTGTCTCGAAAAACCAAAAAAAAAAAAATAAATAAATAAAAAAAAAGAAATGTGTTCGTTCCCTCATTTATCTTTCCTGGCAGTTTTCCTGGTCACAGATGATTGATAGACGCAGCCCTCCAAGCCTGATGGCCCAGTGCTGATTTCTTGACTCTGGCTCTTGAGCTTGTTAGCTGTGATTCTTCGTTAACCAGTTGTAACCCTGACACAAACCCACAGAGAACAGGCATAGTTAATACCTGTACTCCCTTACCAGTAGCGATGGATAATCTTCACTGTCAGCTCCACCAGATTTGGAGTCACCTAGGAAACAGACACACCTCCGGGTATGTCTGTGAGGGTGTCTCCAGAGAGGTTTGACTAAGGAGAGGAGACGACCAGGGCTGTAGATTGGACTGAATAGAAAGGAGACAGTGAGCTGAGCACCAGTATCTGCTTCCTGACTGTGGATGCCGCGTGACCAGGCACCTTGTGTTTTTACCATCATGTCTTCCCCACCACGATGGACTGCATACACAGACCATGACTGAAACAAACCCTACCTTTCTTAAGTTGCTTTTGTTAGCTATTTTGTCACCACAATGAGAGGTCACTGATACGTCAATTTTGGAAAGAATGACTTGGTACTCAGTTTCCGGGATGACCAGTGAGCGTTGTCCATCGTGGCATCATTAGAGGTACATAGCTTCTTATGTCTTGGTTGTGTTTCAATATAGCGAAGTCATTATTTTCTTCTTCCATGGCTGAATGCTCTCTCTCGGGGCCACTGGGAACCCAACAAATTGGTTTCTATGCTGTTTTGCTCTGGCCTTTCCCCCCTTTAATATATATATATATATTTTGCTTCTAGGCACGACAGAGAGTCATCTTCATCTCTGGCTCCAGATCTCATTAGAGACTTCTGCAGTTGGTGTCGGGTTAAATGGAGGAGGACGCCTGTGGGGCTAGGGCTGTTTGCTTCTGGTCTGTCATTGCCACCGGCCTGCTTGATTGACAGACGTAAGAAGTAGGTATTCTTTTCTGGAAGGGGAAATTAATCCTCAATTTCCAACTGTTCACATCTCTTTACTTTTTTACATGTGTCTGTTACTTTATGTGTATACGATGCGTGTATATGGGGGTGCGTATGTCAAGAGGACAACTGTGGGAGTCAGTTCTTTCCTTCCACCACCCAGAGGAAGAAAAGAAGGGAGGAGGGGAAAGAGGGAAATGTAAACACACATATTTGCGCATATGTGTGTAGAAAATATATCATATTAAATATCTCCTCTTTGCTTCTTGCTTTGTTTTGTTTTTGAGACAGTTTCTCTGTATAGCCTTGACTGTCCTGGAATTCACTCTGTAGACCAAGCGGGCCTGGGACTCACAGAGATCCACCTGCCTCTGACTCCTGAGTACTGGGATTAAAGGCGTGCGCCACTACCACCTGGCTGTATCTCCCATGTCTTATGAGGTAGGCAGCACCCTGTACATTTTTTTTTTTGAGATATCCCATCTTTGACACATCACGACCATCTGAGGACCTTCAAACTCATTTGCATAGCCTCCTAGGGGGACATTTCATATGTAACACTCGGCCCCACGTGAATGGGGCTACTTCCAGGATTCAGTGGTGGGGTCTAGTGGGTATGTAGCATTCCTGCCTGTTGCTCTAATTTCTCTTTGATTAAACACTCCAAGTGTATGAGTGTACGCTGGGAGCAAGAATTCAATGGGCTAAGGCCTGTCTACAGCCATATTACCCTGAATGTGTCCAGTCTCATCAAAGACTAAGACCTAGCTAGTTTTGGTAATTGCTTCCTGATTTTTCCATTTAGGGTCCTGTCAACTTCCATTCTCACTAGCGATGCATTCTGTTTGGGCTATAACAAGTTTAAAAAATGCATACAATTCTAGTTAGCCCCGATGACTCATGGCTTTAATCTCAGTGGTCGAGAGGCCGAGGCAGGAGGGCTGCAGTGAGTTTGAGGTAGGCATGGGCTAAATAGCAAATTCCAGGTCAGCCCAGGCTACAGAATGAGATCTTTCTCAAAACAAAACAAAACACACACACACACACACACACACACTTTAAACATTTCCCACAACAACATATACTTTCTTGAAGAATGCGAAGCTATGACAATACCGACCCTCCTCCCTGTGATTGGAATGGTCCTCTGTGCTGTGTTACCCCTGTGATTGGAATGGTCCTCTGTGCTGTGTCACCCCTGTGATTGGAATGGTCCTCTGTGCTGTGTTACCCCTGTGATTGGAATGGTCCTCTGTGCTGTGTTACCCCTGTGATTGGAATGGTCCTCTGTGCTGTGTTACCCCTGTGATTGGAATGGTCCTCTGGGCTGTTTTACTCCCTGTGATTGGAATGGTCCTCTGGGCTGTTTTACCCCTGCCTCTGGGATGCGGTGGCTGCTGCTCATGTGCCCCCAGCCAGGCCTTGCCTTATTGCAGGCACTAGAATCTGGAATCTGCCTGAAGTCCTACCCTGTGCTTCCAGACCTGCCCTGTTAGTGGATGAGGCAGAACAGGCCTGCACTCTGAGTGTGCTTGTGTTTGGGGGAGGGTGAGTGTGTGTTTGACTCCAAGTGCGATTCCCTCTGAGTGTCAGCCTGTGTGTAAACGTGTGTGTGTGTGTGTGTGTGTGTGTGTGTGTGTGTGTGTATGCCAAGGGCACAGCTTGACTCACAAGTTCTTACATAATATAGAAACTAACCTCCTGTTTCATGCGTGGTTCTCCAGGGCTTTTGTATTTGTTACTGTTTTCTTTTTCTTTTTTAGTTGGTGTTTTGTCTGCATGTATGTCCGTGTGAGAGTGGTGGATCCTGGAGTTACAGACAGTTGTGAGCCACCATGTGGGTGCTGAGAATTGAACCCAGGCCCCCTGGAAGAGCTGTCAGTGCTCTTAACTGCTGAGCCATCTTTCCAGCCTCTTATGACTATTTTCAAAATATTTGTTTATTTGATGTACGTGTATACGCACCTGAGTGTTTGTACCTCTACCATGTGTATATAGTACCCACACAGTCCAGAAAAGGTTGTTAGATCCCCCTGGACTAGAGTTACAGACTTAACTCTAGTTAAGTGGGTTCTGGGAACTGAATCTGGGTCCTCTGGAAGAGCAGCCAGTGCCAGAACTTTTTTTTTTCTTTTTTTGAGACAAGGTCATACTATGCAACCCTGGCTAGCCTGGAGTTTGCTATGTGGGCCGGGCTGGCCTGCCTCCTGAATGCTACCATTCCAGGCTAGCTAGTATTTGCAACCACTGAGCCATGTCTTTTTTCTTTCACTGATGTCAGCAGTGCAGCAATGGGACAGCTTTGCCCGAGGAAGGCCTTAATCTTATCCTTGTCCGGGGGCCACTGGAGAGGAAGGTATCTAGTCAGGGTGTGTGTTTTCATTTTCCCGCGCATGCCGGATCTCTGCCTGATGAGGGCAGACTTAGCAGGAGGTTGCAGCGGCAATACCAGCCCTACTGTGTTGCCAGAGATACAGATTTTTCTGCTCAGGGTCCTTTTTTAACAGGAAATAAGCCAATATTTGGCAATATTTAAGGCTAACAAATTCCTGGAAATGACCCAAAGCGAACTGCATGAATTGGGGAGGCTCGTCCCTGGTTCGGAAGAACTGCAGCTTGTTCAACACACACTTGATTTCCACAGCACAATCACCAGAAGAGATTAGAGTGGAAATATTTGCAAGCCTCATCAATCTCCCAGAGGGCCTTCCAGTGTCTGAAGTGCTCGAATTAGTCTCTGTTCACCGACTGTAGTGATGGTTTCCATCTCCAGTTGCCGCCGGTCTAGTTCTGTGGACCTCAGCTTCTTGATGGCTTTATGGGTCTGGGAGAGTTCTCTGGCATGGTTGTTCACCCCAGTTATCAAACATTGCTGCTTTTTTTTTTTTTTTTGCAGTTTGCAATGTTCCTGCTCTTTACAGTCTGTCAGGGAGGCCGGCAGAAGTAAGCTCTGAGATGCCCAATTATGGTTTGGGTGGGACAGGCATAGGGAACAGGAGGGATTTGGAGGGATGTCACAGTCTTCTCAGTTACTCTTGGTGATTTTTGCCTCCTGTTGTAACCCCACTAAGGAACATTCATGTCCCCCCATTTGTTGTTGTAGGGCCTTGTGGGTGCTAATAAGCACATTAATTACCACTGTGGTCTGCTCCCAGCCTTTTGCTCTTGAGTTTGGTTTTTGGTCTGGGACATAGGTCACTCCTAGGGCACCTATCCTAGGTTCATATCGTCAGAACCATGGCAGGGGTGGGGGATGGGGGTAGGGGTGGACAGGGAGAAAGAAAAGAAAAAGGGGGAGGAGGGGGAACTTGGTATGGTGGCACATACCTTTAATTCCAGCACTCAGGAGGCAGAGGCAGGTGGATCCCTGTGAGTTCAAGTTTTATTTAGGACAGCCTGGTCTACCTAGCAAGTTCCAGGACAGCTAGAACTACACATGGAGACCCTGTCTTACAAAAGAAAAAAGGGTTAGAGCATACTTACCACATGAGTCAGCCATCGCCTCTCAGCCAGGATTCTCTGGGCCATCCATCGTCTGTCGCCTTGAGTCTCTCTTGCACTGAGATCCAGCACTGAGCTGTGAAAGCCTGGGCTTCAGATCTGCCAGGAATGCTAACACACACACACACACACACACACACACACACACACACACACACACACACACACGTGTGCCTACCTATCTAAGATACATATACACATGCATATATAACATACATGTGAATATAACATACATACATATACACATGCATATATAACACATATGCATATAGCATACACACATTACACACAAGCATATATAACACAGACATATACATACATACATATATAACACACACATTCACATAGAATACACATATACACATACACATGCATATATAACACCCATATGCAAATATCATACACACATATACACATATGTATATATAATACACATGTGCATATAGCATACACACATATACATGCATATTTAATATAGATGCGCCATATGACATATATGTGTATATAGCATACACAAACATACAGTCTCCAGTGTGTGACCTATTTCAAAGGGCTCTCATTCCTTCCCCCTTGTTTTATTAGCACATTTAATTTATTTTTTGTTTGTTTTTCGAGACAGGGGTTTCTCTGTGGCCTTGGAACTCACTCTGTAGACCAGTCTGGCCTTGAACTCAGAGATCCACCTGCCTCTCTGCCTTCCAAGTGCTGGGATTAAAGGCGTGCACCACTACTGCCTAGCAGCATATTTATTTTAGTTGCATAAAATAATAGGTTTCATGACATCCACACACGGGACATAGCATATGCTGATCATACTCAGACCCCATGGCCTGATTGTCTACTCTCATTCTTGGCTTCATAGAATTAAAATCTCTATTACTTACTGTTAGGGGCTCTCCTTCCTTCTTCCTCCCCCCCTTTCCCCATCCCTTCCCCTCTCTGCTTCCCTTCCTTTTTGTAGTTCTGGGGACTGAACCAAAGGCTTCATGCATGCTAGACAAGCATTCTACTACCGAGCCACACCCCCAAGTTCTGTTTAGAGTTTTGTTTTCTTCCATAAAATTCAAGCAAACAACACAACAACAGTGGGTGGGACCAGGAGGTGAGGTGCACTGGAACATGGTGGACATAAACACTGCCTCCCAAGTGCTGGGATTAAAGGTGTGCAACTCCGCTGCCTGGCTACAAATTAGTCTTTGTATCATATGTACCAGCCATGATGTCAAATGCTTTACCAGCATCTCATTTAACCCCAGATAAAACTAATATGTATATTATCACACATATTATCATCTTCTCAATTTTAGTTTTAGCTGGAAGATTCTGAACTCTTTGCTCAGTGTCTACACAGCGTAGCCAGAGCCAGGGCAGTCAATATTAACTGAGGTGTCTACTGGCTTTTGCTCCGCAATCATCGTCTTGACTTCCCCAGGAGCTCTGCCCATTTCATACTAAATGGTCTTGTACAAAGGTGATTTGAGGACTCAGAATCA